TGACACACGTTCAGACCTACAAAATCGCTGTTACCAGGTTTGTTAGCCAATGGAATAATTTTCATTTTAATTTGGGTGAGATTAGTTATACAATTTGACTGACTTTTTTTTTTTTTACGATTTCATTTTACTTTTTAATTCAGAATAAGTTGTGGAGGTGATATGGCTATACCTATGGCCCATCACTAATACCAGGAGTCCAATTGTAAGTATACAAGGTAATTTTATCTTTGATAGAATCATCTTTATTCAATAATAATTTCTTTTATACATTTGGACAGAATAATAAAGTTTCTTCTCTCCCCCCCCCTATTTTTCTTGGAATAATTTTAGGAAACAACATCTGGTTAAATTATATGTGCACAGTCTTGTGGTTCTCAACAGGAGGGAGGAGGGGGATGCAGGACTCCACTGCCCCCTGGTGCCCAGGAGAGGGAGAGCAGCCCTGTGGCGAGCGCAAAGGAGGTGGTGGTGGCAGCGGCCCCAGGGGTTTGTCTGTTACAGCAAAGTTTTACAAGTCTAGCGGCAAGGGCCTGGATGGCCCAGACCCCGGAAGCTGAGCAGGGTCGGCCTGGCCAGTACTTGGACCAGAAGCCCAGCAGGGCCGCCATGCCGAGGCAGGCAGTAGCAAACCACCTCTGCTGGCCTCTTGCCTTGAAAAAACGGTGGGGCTGCAACTTGAGGGCACTGCCCACGAGGAGGGACGACATTTATTCCATGAGGGGCATTTCTATCCACGCGGACGTCTTCAGAGACGGAAAATGGAGATCATACCGCAAGTTCTTCACACGGAGACATACAGGCCCAGGAAGCAAACCCCACGACAGACCTGGGCACCCACTTTGTCTCTGTGTACAGTCAGGCGGTAACGTCACCACGCCCAACAGCATCAGCTTCTCCACTTGCACATTCAATGGATGCCCTCATGGGCCAGCAGTGCCCTCCCGCAGGCTACAGTGGACAAGCACATGTAAGAGACTGCGTGGCAGAATCAGTGAGCACAAATCGGACACAAGAAATCACCACTTTCAGGAACCAGCGGGGGGGGGGGGGCCCTTTGCGTCTCCCCGGACAGCCCTCGGGGTCTACCAAAAGAAAGGCATCCATGAAACCCAAGGAAACGGAGAAGGTGCGAGTGCTGAATCAGAACAGGTCAAGACGTCGAATGCCCCGTCTGAAGCAGACTGGGGTTCCCGTGATACAGTCCCTGACTACAGTGCCCAGGTCTGTCCGGGGGGCCTGGGTTCCTGACTCGAGTTGGCTGTTCTGGACCTGTTTTATCTGACCATACCCCAGTGGTGACCAAGACTGGCAGATTTCCACTTAAACCGCAGGCTGCTTCTCCTGGAGCGGACTTCACCACTTTGTTATCCGCTTGTAACTGCCCTAGTCACAGAATTTACACTTCAAAGTCTGATTAGACTTGAGAGCCAGTTTGGTATAGTGGTTAAGAGTGCAGACTCTAATGTGGGAGAACTGGGTTTGATTCCCCACTCCTCCACATGCAGCTGCTGGTGTGACCTTGGGCCAGTCACAAGTTCCTTCAGAACTGTTCTCTCAAGAGCAGTCCTCGAAAGAGCTCTCTCAGCCCCACCTACCTCACTTGCTGAGGGGAGGGGAGGGGAGGGGAAGGGAAAGGAGGTTGTAAGCCACTTTGAGACTCCTTCGGGTAGTGAAGGGAGGGGTATAAATCCAATCTCTTCTTCCGAATCCCACCCCCCTCAATAATCTTTGCCAAAAATAGTATTCACGGTATGAGTGCCATTTCACATATCTGAAAAAGTGAGTGGTGATTCAGGGAAGCTCATATTGAAGCAAAAGCTGCCAGTCTTCCAAGTGCCCCACTGGACTCTGCCTTTATTCAGCCCTGTGGGGGTGACCTCTGCCACTGCTTAGCCGTTGGTTACTTAACCACGACCAATTTCCACAAATGTCTGTCTTGGACTGCAGGCTTCCTTTGCGGCTGGTACCACTCCCAAGAGGAATTCTGAACACTTGTCAAGTTTCTCTGTGCATGAGGAAGACCCCTGTGAGATCTGAAAAAGGGCGCACTCTGCCCCCACTCTACTGTGTCCCACTGAAATGGGGGTGTACCTGGTTGTCCTCGGGGACCAACCCTGGTCAACTGACAAAGAAGCTGGAACATAATTTGAAAAAGGTCGCCGCATCTCCAGTCCATGCCTCGGAACCAATTCTGAGGACTTCCTGGCACACCCCAGGACCACCGGCAGCTGGCCAAGAGCCCCCACCCACCCCGGCTTGGGTCAGGATTTTAAACCTCTTCTTAAGTGTGCTGGCATTGTGACTTTAAAACCAGCCCCAATCTTCTTTGTCCCTCACAGCTCCCAAACGTGAAAACCCACAAATGGTCGGGTGGCAGGAATCCCAAACAACAGTCGGGCCCAGGGGCTGCCCAGAGACCAGGTCCGTCTTCCGGAGCCAAGGCCTTCAAGGTCAGCTGCCTGGCCGAGGCAAAAGTCCCGCCTGCCCCTCTGCTCCAAGGACCTGGGGAGGTCTCTTCCAGCTGCTGCGGGGCGGGGGGAGCAGAGGGGAAGATTTCGGGAAAGCTCTCAGCCCCCCCCCCCGGGTTGGTCACCCCCTTTAGGAGACAGAGTAGTAGCCAGGAGCCGTCCTCAGACTTTCCCCACCCACCACGTGACTGTGCTTGGAACCGGCCCCCGACACAACCAGCCAGACAGGGTCCCGGGGCCGCCTCGGCATCGGGCAAGGGGCCAGTTCAGGAGAGCAACAGAAACTGCCCTTGTTGCTGACGCACAGGGGCCACGTCGGATCACGATGGGGCCCTGCCGCTGAACAGGCCTATCTGAGCAGAAGGCATGTGCCCTCCGAGCCCCCCGGGACTCAGGGGCCCCCAGGCCTGAGGCTGCCTCCGCCGCCTGGCCCTTCAAGGGGATGCCGTCCACAGGCCCGCCTCTCTTGGGGCTCCCCCCTCAGTAGTTCCCAGCGACTGCTAGGCCAGCAGAGAGACCCACTCCTGTCGCTGGCCCCTGCGGAAGGCAAAACAGCGGGGGAGCAGAGCCAGGTGCCCTGGGGCATTCGAACAAGCCCTTTCCAAAACTAGCTGGCCAGCCCCCACCCCCAGCCCTGCCCATTCCCAGGGTGCCAAGGCTGGACTGCCCCCATCCTGAGATGCTGGGGGGGGGGGGAAGAGGCCAGCGGCTTCTCAGAAGGCGGCCCCCCAGGACTAAAGGAGCCCACCCTTTCCTTCCAGATCAGCCACCCTGCCTCGGCCCAGGATCTGAGGGGCTCACCGCACCCGCTGCCACCACCAGGACAGGACCGTCCAGCCAAAGGCAGCACGGCACAGGCAGGGGGGGGGGGGGGGGGCAGGCGGGGGGGGGGGGGAGCGGGGCTGGCTTCTCCCTTCTCCCTAACCCCTCGGTGCGAGAAATTGGCACAGGAAAGCAGCCCAGCTGGAGGCTCCGAATGAGTGGACAGCAGCCCCGGGCCCCCCTGTCCGAGCCAGAGTTCTGGAGGACGGGTGGTCTTTGGGCGGGGGCTCCAGCTGCAGCAGCAGTTTTAGGGAGCTGTTGACATCTTTACATAGATACGCACACACTCTCCTTATCTTTAAAAGCTGCTTTAATGTTTTAAAGGTTTTGCTGCTCACCACCTTCGGGGCCCCTGGGACATACAGAACGGGGGAACAACCGTGGCTGCAGCAGAAAGCAGCTTTGGGGGGGGGGGGAGCCAGGGTTGCTCTGGAGAAGGGGGGAACTGGGCCATGCAGGAATCTGCCCCCCCCCCAGCAACAACAACATGCACACCCCACCCCCACCCTTCTGGCCATGCCTCCGAGTGAGTCACAGCTGGGATGGGAGAAATCCTGGCCAGCCAGCGGGGCTTCAGGAGCGAAAAGCCGGCCCTGGCCCAGATGAGAGTGTAAACCGCGTGGGGGGCGGGGAAGGGGCTGCCCAGAACCAGAGGGATCTTGTGTTCTCCCCCCCCCCCACTTCAGAGATGCAAAGACTCCTGGGAACACAGTACTGGGTGTGGAACTGGGTGTGGAACTGGGGTCACCGCAGGTGTGGAGGAGGAGGCATTTGTGAATTTCCCGCATTGTGCAGCAGGGGTTGGACTAGATGACCCTGGGGGGTCCCTCCCAACTCTGTGATTCTAGGATTCCAGAGGGGCTCCAGAAGAGTCCTTCAGGACAGGTGTGTGGCAGCGGCACAGGAAGGGGCTCCGCCGGAGGACAGAGCCCGGCTCCAGGCTGCGTTCAACAAGCCCCCTCTGGCCAGGTGCCCCAGGGGTATGATTGCCGCCCTCAACTCATTCTGCTCCTGCCCCCCCCAACCAGCCCCCCGCTAGGGGGAGAAGCAAGCATGAGGCCCGGTGGCGAGGGGGGCTGCGCCTGCCGCAGACAAAGGCAGGGGACGGGCTGGGCCTGGGGCTCAGGCCCTGAAAAGGGAAGGGGGCAAGACAGCGCCCCGCCCCCCAGGAAACACCCTTTGCTTGCGCTCCAGGTGGGAGGCAGGGTGTGTTTGTGTGCCGGTCGCTTCCCCATCCCAGTGTGGACCAGACCGCCCCCCCCCCCTTGAGATCCATGAGCATCACAGGCCTTGCAGGACTACTGAGAGGAGAGAGCAGGGCTGTGCATTCCTGGGGGGAGGAGGAGGAGGAGGAGAGGGAGAGCTCTCCCCAAAAACGCACGGACCCCCAAGCTGTGCTCAGGTCCAGAGGCCCCCTGGGTGGACTCACGCTGACATGGCACCCCCCCCCCCGAAATCTCCCAGGATGACAAGAGACCACTCACCCATGCCCGGGAGGGACCCCGTCCTGAGGACAGGGGCAAAACGCAGGGCCGGAGGGGACGCAGCAGCAGCGCCCTCTGGGCCAAGGCTGTCTCAGGAGGAACCACAGAGCCAATGTCCCCCCCCCCCCCCG